ACATTTCTAAATATGTATACTTTAAGAAAATGCACAAAAAAAATCGATTTTTCAAAAGTTACAACTGGTGTTCCCCCCTTAAGTTTGATAAAAAAATGGACATCATTTTTGAATTTAGCTGACAAAGCCCTACCGGAAGGGTGGTACTGGATTGGTACTGTGAAATTGGAACTGAGATCTCAGTACCAACTCAGTACTAATTTGGTGCATTTTGGTACTGAAATGGAACTGGGAAATTTACCTGCGAAAAGGGTCGAGTTACCGTTAATACCCTCATAAAAGTGAAAAGCGACTAGCTTTTTCAATATGTTTAAACTAAAACTTTATATTTATTTCAATATTATATTTGTTTTTCATGGATTAATATGATTTTCATACATTATTATGCATATGATATTTCCTTTGTCAGCTAAATTCAAAAATAATGTCCATTTTTTTTATCAAACTTAAGGTATACGAGATAAATTATAACCCTGGCGGATTGTGAAAACCGAGTTGTAACCGAATTGGGTTACGATTCGGTTACGATTCGGTTACGTTTCGGTTCATTGTGAAATATTATCGTTAATCGACGAAATATGTAGTAAATAACTATTAGGAATGGTTAATATACATTTAGAGAGCTTATTTATGCAATAATAATAATAAATTAAGATATAATTAATTAATTAATAATAAGTGTTTTAAGTGTACAGTGCATACAGTTGTTGAATTACCATATATATGAGGTATTCCATGCCAAATCGGAGACCATTTGGCTTTTGCACCTCAGATCTTTTTGAAAATTTTTTTCCTTTTAGTACTCATGAAGACTAGCTTTCATGATTTTTTTCAAATTTTTTCATCAAGCCCTTTAGGAGATATCAATTTTTGAAAAATTACGTCACTTTTTTTTGAAATGCTTGTAATTTCGCTAAAAATTGACCAAATTGGATCAATCTTATATCAAAATTTTTGTTTTTAAACGTACTTTCCAAAAAAAATATTGAAAGGTATTTTCGAAAAAAATTTCTATTAGATTTTTGAGATTTAAGACTAAAAATTCATTTTTGAACCTGTGTGTATCGATCGATTTTTTTCAAAATTTTTTTACAAAAACTGCTCTAAATTTGACGAATTTTGAGCCTAGTCCGATAATGGGAAAACGATGGGAACTATTTTTTTCGAATTTTCAAATTTTACGTTTTTAATTATTCACGTTAAAAAGTATTTAAAATTATTCTTAGAACTATTTTACTATATATATATATATATAATTAATAATGTGTAATTATTTGATGCCTAGAGATTAATTATTTTAGATTGATTAAAGGAAAAAGATATAAACAAAAAAAGTATTAAACATGCATAAACATTTTCAAAATAATACCAGATAACTCGATAATTAATAAATATGAATGAAATCTTTAATCACAAATTAAGAATTAAAAAATAAATTTGCAGACTAGGAAGATAAAAACCTGAAAAAAACGATAGATTCCTATTTTAAAACCGAAATTATTTTCAAAATGGCGGAGTAATAGCGTGAGCAGAAGAGTACGAAAACGCGACTTGCGCACTGTTACTCCTGATTAATATTCACCATGGGAACAAGTGCGAAAATATTGCAATCAAATTTAACCTTAAAACATATTTTATTAGTCTTTATAGCGTGTCATGTAAAAAAACAATTCTACGTTCTTATGCCATGTCAAATTTAGGAGCATTTAATTTCTGCTGCAACCCTTTTAAACTACAGAATCATAGAGTAAAGAATAGTCTCGATGAAAAAACTTCATTGAGCATGTTTAATACTTTTTTTGTTTATATCTTTTTCCTTTAATCAATCTAAAATAATTAATCTCTAGGCATCAAATAATTACACATTATTAATTATATATATATATATACTAGGGGGGCTTCGCCCCCCTGCGCGCTTCGCGCGCCAACCCCCTATTTTTTATTTTTTATTGGTTTTGTAGATGTTTGAGTTAATGTTTAAATAATTTCTGGAATTTAAAACTATTATTAATATTTTATTATTTATTTCTTCAAATGTTATTTACGATTTTTATTAGCAATAATTTTTATTATTTTTAATTTTTAAAACAAAATTTATCTAATTTTTTAAATTTTCCAGCTAAAATTTGACCTACATTTAAGGTTATGTTCGTTTTTTGGTAATTTTCCTTCAAAGTTTGACCTACATTTTGAAGTTATGTTTGCTTCTTTGTCTTTTTGCACCAAATTTTCGCCTAAATTTTGAGGTTATGTTTGTTTCTTGGTCGTTTCCCGACAAAATAACTTAACCTTAAAATTTATATCAATTTCGGCGGAAAATCCACCTCTCCTTCAACGTAAGAAAGGAGGGGGGGCTTGCGTCTATATTCACAGTCTTGAAACGAACATAACCTTTAAATTCAGGTCATTTTTGGCGGGAGAGGGGGGACTTGCGGCTATATTTAGAGGCTTGAAACGAACATAACTTCAAAATTTAGGTGATTTTTGGTGGGAAATACGGAGAGAGGGTAAGGGAGGGGGGAGGACTTGCGGCCCTATTCAGAGTCTTGTAACGAACGTAACCTTAAAATTTAGGTCATTTTTTGCGCGGAAGGGGGAGGAGAGGGGGGGACTTGCACCTATATTCAGATGGGTCATTCCATATCAAATGTAACCAAATATTGTACTATCCATGTAAAAAACATGGGTTGGCTCACCCTTACCTAACCTTGTCAAAAACATGTGTTGGGTACACTTGACACGGAATGACCCATCCTTGTCAACATTTCTGAAACAGCGGCGGCGGCGAAATCTTTTTATAATATGGGTCATTCTACATGAAGTGTAACCAACCCATGTTTTTGATATGGTTAGTAGTTTTTGGCGGAGGAGGGGAAATGAGAGGAGGGAGGGGGGACTTGGGCTATATTTAGAGCCTCGAAACGAACATAACCTCAAAATTTAGGTCATTTCTGGCGGGGGAGGGGAAAGGAGGGGGGATATCCCCCCTCCTTGGTCAAAATTTGCTGAAACAGCGGCGGCGGCGAAATCTTTTTATAATATAGTAATGATATATATATATATATATATATAGTAAAATAGTTCTAAGAATAATTTTAAATACTTTTTAACGTGAATAATTAAAAACGTAAAATTTGAAAATTCGAAAAAAATAGTTCCTATCGTTTTCCCATTATCGGACTAGGCTCAAAATTCGTCAAATTTAGAGCAGTTTTTATAAAAAAATTTTGAAAAAAATCGATCGATACACACAGGTTCAAAAATGAATTTTTAGTCTTAAATCTCAAAAATCTAATAGAAATTTTTTTCGAAAATACCTTTCAATATTTTTTTTGGAAAGTACGTTTAAAAACAAAAATTTTGATATAAGATTGATCCAATTTGGTCAATTTTTAGCGAAATTACAAGCATTTCAAAAAAAAGTTACGTAATTTTTCAAAAATTGATATCTCCTAAAGGGCTTGATGAAAAAATTTGAAAAAAATCATGAAAGCTAGTCTTCATGAGTACTAAAAGGAAAAAAATTTTCAAAAAGATCTGAGGTGCAAAAGCCAAATGGTCTCCGATTTGGCATGGAATACCTCATATGTATATTACCATTAACGGCAGCTGTGATACGCGCGTTTAACCCTAGATGGCTTTAAGGATCACTTTTTCGAATGAATTTCTAAAATTAAGCCCTTGAGTGTCAAATGTGTAAGTGAATATATAAGTTTTAAAAAAAATAGATCAATTTATTATAACAACTTTTTTGATTTGTACAAATATAAAAAATAAATTTTTATAACGAACAAAAATTTTTTTAATAAGAAAAAGTTTTTTTTGTGTCAAAATTAATCTTTCTCATTTTATTGATGAAAATAAAAATAATAATTATTAAACAAATAACAAAAATAATTTTAAATAATAATTACAATAATAATAATAATAATTAAACAAATAACAAAAATAAACATTTTTTTCTTAATAAAATTTTTTTTTCATCAATAAAATAAAAAAGATTAATTTTGAAAAAAACTTTTTCTCATTAAAAAAATTTTTGTTCGTTATAAAAATTTATTTTTTATATTTGTACAAATCAAAAAAGTTGTTTTAATAAATTGATCTATTTTTTTAAAACTTATATATTCACTTACACATTTGACACTCAAGGGCTTAATTTTAGAAATTCATTCGAAAAAGTGATCCTTAACGCCATCTAGGGTTTAACGCGCGTATCACAGCTGCCGTTAATGGTAATATACATATATATGGTAATTCAACAACTGTATGCACTGTACACTTAAAACACTTATTATTAATTAATTAATTATATCTTAATTTATTATTATTATTGCATAAATAAGCTCTCTAAATGTATATTAACCATTCCTAATAGTTATTTACTACATATTTCGTCGATTAACGATAATATTTCACAATGAACCGAAACGTAACCGAATCGTAACCGAATCGTAACCCAATTCGGTTACAACTCGGTTTTCCCAATCCGCCAGGGAACTTTTTTAAAAGTAATTATTTTATGATAAATTTTAGATATTCATAATCTGGAAATATTAACGAATCTGAATATATATTTTTTAAAGTTGAGTTATTAAAATTACAAATTTTTTAAGCAATAAAACTCGGGTTAAAATTTTAATCCTTCAACAAAGGACCTAGTGGTCTATTGTTCAAGGAGGGATTGCAATATAATTTCCAAACTTAACAGAAATTTTCTACAAACTATTATGTTTTTTTTTGCTGTTTTACACGTATATCGTGAGAGACGGTTTGTTGATCTTATATACCTTTAAAACTATTGTTAAAGTACTTTAAAAATGTCTTCTTATGGGTTATCAGGTAGTGGTACTGAAGTGGAACTCAAGCCAAGTCCAATTCAGTACCACTCTTTCGGTAGGGAGGAAATATCATATGCATAATAATGTATGAAAATAATATAAATCCATGAAAAACAAATATAATATTGAAATAAATATAAAGTTTTAGTTTAAGGGGGGAACACCAGTTGTAACTCAAAAAATAATGCTTTTTTCAAGAATATTTTCCAAAAGAACAATGAATCTTTTTAAAGAATACTATTTATTAGTTAAAAGTACATGTAAAAAGCTGTAATTTAAAAGAAAAAAAAAATTTTTTTAACAAAAACTTTTGGAGATATGAGCCATTGAAGTGGCGTCTTAAGAAAAAAGGCGAATTGCGGTGACCAGCATTCTGCAAGTATACTTCGTCTGAAATACAAAAATGAAATTGATTTACATTTATTATAAGATTATCTAGTTCGTGATCGAAGGATTTAAAAAAAAAAAAAATTTGACAAAATGGCGACCTGTCAAAGTCAAAAGTATGATTTTCGTTAAAAAAATACGGTCGATTTTCAGCTATATAAAAAAAAGTTTTGATTAAAAAAAAAAATCCTTCGATCACGAACTAGACTTATATGTGTAAATGAAGCACACTAAATTTTAAATAAATCGGTTTAATGCCCTGCCGGAAGGGTGGTACTGGATTGGTACTGGGAAATTGGAACTGAGATCTCAGTACCAACTCAGTACTAATTTGGTGCATTTTGGTACTGAAATGGAACTGGGAAATTTACCTGCGAAAAGGGTCGAGTTACCGTTAATACCCTCATAAAAGTGAAAAGCGACTAGCTTTTTCAATATGTTTAAACTAAAACTTTATATTTATTTCAATATTATATTTGTTTTTCATGGATTTATATTATTTTCATACATTATTATGCATATGATATTTCCTTTGTCAGCTAAATTCAAAAATGATGTCCATTTTTTTATCAAACTTAAGGTATACGAGATAAATTATAACTTTTTTAAATGTAATTATTTTATGATAAATTTTAGATATTCATAATCTGGAAATATTAACGAATCTGAATATATATTTTTTAAAGTTGAGTTATTAAAATTACAAATTTTTTAAGCAATAAAACTCGGGTTAAAATTTTAATCCTTCAACAAAGGACCTAGGGGTCTATTGTTCAAGGAGGGATTGCAATATAATTTCCAAACTTAACAGAAATTTTCTACAAACTATTATGTTTTTTTTTTGCTGTTTTACACGTATATCGTGAAAGACGGTTTGTTGATCTTATATACCTTTAAAACTATTGTTAAAGTACTTTAAAAATGTCTTCTTATGGGTTATCAGGTAGTGGTACTGAAGTGGAACTCAAGCCAAGTCCAATTCAGTACCGTTCCAGTACCACTCTTTCGGTAGGGTGGTATTCGAGTAATCGTGGTCACCGACTTGGAAAATGTCATTTTGAGAAAAACGCATTAAAAGTTTCAACTTACTTTTTTTTGTTCAGAAGAAATTTTGTTTCTAAGTTACAAAGAGTCATCGATTCCTGGACCATATAATAACTCTTCCGCAGTGGTTGCCGTTTCTAAATCATAGGAAAAGGCCATCTGTCGTTAGGGTCAGGTATGGCCCTACCGGAAGGGTGGTACTGGATCGGTACTGGAAAATTGGAACTGAGATCTCAGTACCAACTCAGTACTAATTTGGTGCATTTTGGTACTGAAATGGAACTGGGAAATTTACCTGCGAAAAGGGTCGAGTTACCGTTAATACCCTCATAAAAGTGAAAAGCGACTAGCTTTTTCAATATGTTTAAACTAAAACTTTATATTTATTTCAATATTATATTTGTTTTTCATGGATTTATATTATTTTCATACATTATTATGCATATGATATTTCCTTTGTCAGCTAAATTCAAAAATGATGTCCATTTTTTTATCAAACTTAAGGTATACGAGATAAATTATAACTTTTTTAAATGTAATTATTTTATGATAAATTTTAGATATTCATAATCTGGAAATATTAACGGATCTGAATATATATTTTTTAAAGTTGAGTTATTAAAATTACAAATTTTTTAAGCAATAAAACTCGGGTTAAAATTTTAATCCTCCAACAAAGGACCTAGGGATCTATTGTTCAAGGAGGGATTGCAATATAATTTCCAAACTTAACAGAAATTTTCTACAAACTATTATGTTTTTTTTTGCTGTTTTACACGTATATCATGAGAGACGGTTTGTTGATCTTATATACCTTTAAAACTATTGTTAAAGTACTTTAAAAATGTCTTCTTATGGGTTATCAGGTAGTGGTACTGAAGTGGAACTCAAGCCAAGTCCAATTCAGTACCATTCCAGTACCACTCTTTCGGTAGGGGGCTGGCCACCTTGTATGAAGCCACGGGACGCGCCGCTGCAGTGTTCTGTATATCTCATTTATTTTTCACCGGATCAACTTTGAAATTTACAGACACATTTCTAAATATGTATACTTTAAGAAAATGCACCAAAAAAAAAATCGATTTTTCGAAAGTTACAACTGGTGTTCCCCCCTTAAACATATTGAAAAAGCTAGTTGCTTTTCACTTTTATGAGGGTATTAACGGTAACTCGACCCTTTTCGCAGGTAAATTTCCCAGTTCCATTTCAGTACCAAAATGCACCAAATTAGTACTGAGTTGGTACTGAGATTTCAGTTCCAATTTCCCAGTACCAATCGAGTAGCACCCTCCCGGTAGGGTATACATGCGCAGAAACCCATTCTGTGACTACCACACGAACTACTTGCAGACAGAAACTCCTACCCTGCCCTTACTTTCTACCTTACCCCCACCACTTGAGTTATCTCTCCTGTCTCTACACGGAGAGAAAAATCTGCCTTTTATAGTATGAAATAGATTGCTGCTATTTTTCTTTAAACTTTTCATACTAATAGAGCAAAGATTTGAGAATTTTTAGGATAGTATTTGTCCGTACTAAAAAAGCATAGTATATATGCTTCTATAGTACAAAACATGTAGTTTAATAGCAACAACGCCATGCGAAGATCGCACATAACATCATCCTACTATGTTTGCATAAGTTCTATGCTTTTTCGGGGATAGACTCTTGCAACTGGCGATTAGGCCACGCCCACCTTTACTGAATTGGAAGTAACTGTGTGAATACTCACACAAATGCCTAATCGCCAGTTGCAAGAGTCTATCCCCGAAAAAGCATAGAACTTATGCAAACATAGTAGGATGATGTTATGTGCGATCTTCGCATGGCGCCGTTGGATTAAAAGTATAATAAGTATGTAATAAGAGGCTATATGACAAACTTTATTAGCATAGACAAGTTTCATGCTAAAAAGACATACGATTGTACTATAATTACTCAAATTTCATGTCTATATAGCATAGAAAATTTCTGTGCATTAAATGTAAACCTTTCTATACTATAAAAGGCAGATTTTTCTCTCCGTGTAGTCTTCTTGTTTCAGCTAAACATAACAACTTATGTTCTACAAAATGTGAGGTTATGACATTTCTTTGATGTTTGTGACCACGAAGTAATAATAAGGGGACTCAACTATAAATTAAATTATAAATTTATAAATTATTTATAATTTATTATTATTATTAATTATTATAATTAATAATTATATTAATTATTATTATTTATTATTTATAAATTATTATTATTATTTATAATTATTATAAATTTTTTTGTGTAAATTATCGGAATCCAACTAGGGTGAGTGGACCATAAGTGACCTGTTCGCTAAATGGAATTGACTCTCGAACGAGAGCGCATGTGCAGTGTCATATATATGTGTCTCTCTCCAACTAATGAAAAAAGTACGAGTGAGAAAGTTGCCGTCATCAGTCTAATGGAGCGGTCACACCTCGCCAGCAGGAGCAGTTGCCAATGGCAACCGTGTAAGAGTAAGAGAGATGGAAAATCTTCTATCTCTCTTACTCTTACACGGTTGCCATTGGCAACTGCTCCTGCTGGCGAGGTGTGACCGCTCCATAAAGGAATGGGTAGTCTATCTATCTCTCTTGCACTCATGGGATTTGCATTTGGACTTGGCTTTTGCACCTATTATAGAACCTCCATAAAAGCACTTGTATACTCTATTGCCTTAATGCCGGCAACTTTCTCAGTCGCACTTTTCCTATTAGTTAGAAAGAGATACGTATATTACACTGCACATACGCTCTCGTTCGAGAGTCAATTCCATTTAGCGAACAGGTCACTTATGGTACAGTGACCTTGACAGATGGCAAATACAAAGTTGAGTCTCCTTATTATTACTTCGTGTTTGTGACATTTGCTGCGTTTGCGAGAATTTGGTACATATTGTGACATCTGGAGTCTTTTTCTAGTAAATTATCTAGGGAATTTCTCTTTTTGATAAAATATATATAAAATTTCTTTTCCCTTTTGAAAATAGAATTTATTATTTGAAATTATTAATTTAAAATATAGGATAAGAAAATATTCTTAAAAATATTTAAAAATCGATCAAATACATAGTAGTAAAATAAGGTTGTATGTTTCAAATGATGAGTCATAAGTTAAAAATAGAAAATGACTTAAAACATAAATCGTTAAAATTAAATATTATATTTTATTTTAAAATAGAGGTAAAAATGACTCATACATATAGGAAACATTATTCTAAAAATAGCCATATTCCAGAGAAATATAATTTTTTATCTATAGTTTTTAAACTCTTTTTTCCTATTGGTTGGAAAATGCATCACCGGCAATCTGATTGGTTGAAAAATAATAGAGAGAATAAATTCTTTCTATTTTACCGGGTATATAAGGACTATTTTTGAGCCTAGATTTTTAGATTTAATTCAAATCTTGTTCTGAATTTTACAAGATTTCTCCGCGAAAATAAATTGCTTGTGACTACAAATAAAAGACTTTAACAATTTTTCAAATTGTTAAAGTGAAATGTTAAGGCGCTCTCACAGCTTTTTGGCTGCCTGCAGGTTACCATGGCAACGCATGAAAGTGAGTGCGACAGAAAATTTAAAAATTTGAATATTCAAATTTTCTGTCTCACTCACACTCGTGCGTTGCCATGGTAACCTGCAGGCAGGCAGGCAGCCAAAAAAGGTGTGAGTGCGCCATAATGCATTCGAACTTTTGAGTTTTACAAAAAGTGTTTGATTATTTAACAATTGTGAATTTTAAAGAAAAGACTAATTAACAAATGTGAATTTTTAGGAAAAGACTAATCAACAATTGTGAATATTTAAAGAAAAGACTAATTAATAATTATGATTAATTCAATTACTTAAACATTTCGCAAGTTTAAATAAAATTGGTTTTTTATCTAAAAATGGTTTTTTCCAATTGAATTGAGTGTTTTATTTATTAATTATCCCAAAAGAATAATTATTCAATAAAGACTAAATAAATTTCAAATATATTGGAATTTGAAATCAAATTCAGTATTCGTTTTCAAACGAAGTTCGCGGTCCAAGGATCCAGTCTGTGATTGGTCTTGCTGTTTGGAGCTGACGGAAATCCAGTTAATAAATTCGGGTGTTTTCGGGAGTTGCTGACAGTAAAAAATTACCCAATCAGAATAAACATGCTGATGGATCAGCCAATCACAACATACTGACAGTATACTCACAGCAACTCTCGAAAACACCCTCTAGGACGTGACACATATATTAAGGTGCTTATATACCTCAAATTTCGATCAGATGAACTTTATTTCTGGACCGTGAAAATGCGTGAAAATTCATTTTCACGGTGGGTATTTTTGAATTGTTTTAAACAAAAAATGTTTTTTTAAGAAATATGATATTAAATAATTGTTTTAATATGTAAGAACACTTTAAAATAGTGATAGAAAGATGATTTGATTGAAAAATTTAGCAAATTTTGTTTTAAAACGTTTCTGCTACAAGAAAGTGTAAAATGACGATGTTTGTGAAATGGTTTGTACAGTGTACATGTGTACATGTTTCTTTTAGTTATTCGAAACAATTAGTTGAATTTAAATTTATTTGATAAACATTTCAACTTACCGATTTATTTTCAGCACTCATTATTTATTACAAGTTAAAAAGAACCGACATAACATAAACAAAACTCTGAGAGACACTCACAAGGAAGAAGCACTGTACAAACCATTTCACAAACATCGTCATTTTACACTTTCTTGTAGCAGAAAACGTTTTAAAGCAAAATTTGCTAAATTTTTTAATAAAATCATCTCTCTATCACTATTTTATAGTGTTCTTACATATTAAAACAATTATTTAATATTATATTTCTTAAAAAAAACATTTTTTGTATAAAACAATTCAAAAATACCCACCGTGAAAATGACTTTTCACGCATTTTCACGGTCCAGAAATAATGTTCATCCGATCGAAATTTGAGGTATAAAAGCACCTTTACATTAGTCAGGTAACATACATAAAAAACCTCGAGTTTGTTACATTTACCCATCCCTGGAGCCTATTAGAGAAGTGCCTTAATACAAAATGGCTCCTGTTGATAGCAGCGCAGAACAGTTCTTATTTTGGTCTACCTTACGCTTAAACCTTGTTAGTTAGATCATGACTATCCGTCAAATCTTAAATTTTGCTATTCATCAAGTCATCCATAGAGCATTTAATTGTTGTGTGCTTGATTATTGACAAGAAATAAATTTAAAATAGCAATAATATAGTAAATATGGGAAGTGTACGAACTATTAATGATGACAATCAATTACAAGGAGAATTACGGAGTGCAGGAACAAAACTGGTTGTTGTTGATTTTACTGCAACATGGTAAGTGTCAAAAAATTGTCAGGTTATGTTAATTTAGAAATTTAAATTAAACAAAATATCAAAATTCAAAAAAGTGCAAGACGTGTTATAAAAAATAGGTTTTAAATTTGTTAATTCCACACTATGGAAATTTTACTTATAATTTTACCACTCTGAAAGAGGGTTTGTCAATCCACATTTTTCATCAATAGAAAAAAACTACGTGGAAAAATCATAAAGTTAAGATGTTTATATTCTCATGTAATTTGGAAAAGAATATTTCCTTATCGCAAAGATTTTTAGTAATCATTCTATGAGATTTATCTGAGAAGAGACTATTTTTTAACGGTGTTTTAATATATAAATTTCTTGAGATATTATCAATGTTTTTCAACATTCTTGGGCTTCTTTTAACTATTATTTTTTGTAACATTTAAATCACTTAAAAGTATTTATCTTTATGTTTTTCTTTGAAAGTTTCCAGACGACTTTTTTCAACGGGTTTGTTTTATACATATTGAAGTAGGAAAAACATTTTTTTATTCTTATTTTGAATCAAAATAACGAAGACATAGCTTATCGCTGGTTTAGTGGAAAAAAATGACACGTCATGATTTTTTTTTTAAAAGAGGACACGTCGAAATTAAGTTTTTTAAGGTACTATTTCACTTTACACCGACTAAACAATCGATTTTTTTCATAATTTTAGTTTTCCAAATCAGGCTCAAAATTTCAGAAGTAAGCCATTAATTTTTCGATGACGAGATTTTTATGTGTCATGTCAATAATTTTATAGTATTTTTGAATAAAAATAAGATCCTAAAGATGTTTTGCAAAATTTTTATTTTTTTAGTTATTGTTTAAAAAATTTTTAAGCATCCAATTAGTAAAGAAAGCTCTTCTACTGTTCTATTTGATGGATTTTGCTAAAATTTGGTATGAGTAACATACAATAACCATGCTTTCAAACAAAAAAAATTGGTTTGATTTTGTCCATAATTTGTTTAAAACAGCAACAATTATTATAAACAAATGAAAATAAAATAAACTTCTGCACCTAATTTCGTATTTTTTCTTGTCAATTATGATTCCCTATTTTATCATCACAAGTATTTCAAAAAAAGAAAAGTCAGTATATCGCATTAGGTCAAAAGTTATTAATATATTTGTGAACGCGCTCCGCCAACTACGTGCTACGCCGCCACAGTGGGACGAAAAACACGTCCGTGGACAAATTAACATCGAGCCAACCAATTTCAACCGATTTTGACGTTCTTGGTCTTTTTTAAAGATCATGAAATTCTGCATAACGTCTTTAATTTTATTTTGGAAAGAAAAAATTTTCAATTCTTTATTTAATGTTAATGTTGAAAAAGTTTTTTTTTCCTTTTTAAAACTAGCGAAACTTTTTAGAAAAGGCGATTATTCCGTCAACAAGGGCGAAAAATTTTAACGTATTCACCTATAGAAATATATTCTGGTAGTTAATAAAGTTATTAAAAACCGCAGTTTAAGTACGAAGTAATGTTAGGTTGTATCGAAAACTTTAGGAGGGATAGAGTGTTGAATTTTTTTGAAAAATGTAATCAGTCAATTTTTGAAGATTTATAACTTTTAAACCATTATAAAAATACATTATATTTAAAGAAACTTTTAAAAACACCAAATGTGAAACATGTAAAAACAGCGGTACTGTGTATTTGTTAATTAAGGGTTGTTTAAACAATGCTATGTGTAAAAATTAAATAAAGCAAGTAATAGTTGTTTACCTTGACTAATAATATTGCACATTTCGCTCAATATGTCATCAATTTCGTAATTAGGAACTTAAATCAACAAAATTGTTCATAAAAATTGTTTAATCAATTACAAATAATTAATTTATAATAACTATTGAACTGATAATTACTTTAGCATCTCAAATACAAAAAAATGGGAAATAATCGCCTTTTCTATAAAATTACGCTACTTTTAAGGAGGAAAAAAAAATTTTTCAATTTTAACATTAAATAAACAATTGAAAATTTTTTTTTTTTAAATAAAATAATAGACGTTATGCAGAATTTTATGATCTTTAAAACAAGACCAAGAACGTCAAAATCGGTTGAAATTTGTAGGCTCTATGTTAATTTGTCTACGGCCGTGTTTTTCGTCCCACTGTGGCGGCGTAGCACTTAGTTGGCGGAGCGCGATCACAAATATATTAATCACTTTTGACTGACTTTTCTTTTTTTGAAATACTTGTGATGATAAAGTAGGGAATCATAATTGACAAGAAAAAATACGAAAATAGGCGCAAAAGATTATTTTATTTTCATTTGTTTATAATAATTGTTGCTATTTTAAACAAATTATGGACAAAATCAAACCAATTTTTTTTGTTTGAAAGCATGATTATTGTATGTTACTCATACCAAATTTTAGCAAAATCCATCAAATAGAACAGTAGAAGAGCTTTCTTTACTAATTGGATGCTTAAAAATTTTTTAATCAATAACTTAAAAAAATAAAAATTTTGCAAAACAACTTTAGGATCTTATTTTTATTTAAAAATACTATAAAATTATTGATGTGATACATAAAAATCTCGTCATCGAAAAATTAATGGCTTACTTTAGAAATTTTGAGCCTACATCAAAAGTACATACATGGAGAGAAAAAAAAGCTACGATAACCGGAGACCCAAGTAGTAACTGCCTGAGTGACTCAAGTAATAGCATTAAAGTCAACACAACTTGGGTCCCAAGTAGTTTTTACCTGGCAAACGCAAGATCTATTAAAAGCCTGGTTAAAACTCAAATGATAAGGTAGGAAATGTTTGAATTTCCCAGCTTAATTCAAGCATTTCCTACCTTATCATTTGAGTTTTAACCAGGCTTTTAATAGATCTTGCGTTTGCCAGGTAAAAACTACTTGGGACCCAAGTTGTGTTGACTTTAATGCTATTACTTGAGTCACTCAGGCAGTTACTACTTGGGTCTCCGGTTATCGTAGCCTTTTTTTTTCTCTCCGTGTACTCTCGAGAATGTTTCCCTAAAATTTAATCCAAATCGGAGCATCAGAACCGAGGGGGAATTTACTCTGATAGTCAAGTGTACACTTGTCTGGTAATACTCGGTAATATCTGTAATATTTTGTAATGTCTTGTAATAATAAGTATTATTGTGTAATATCATGTAATACTGTGTAATACTTGTAATATTGTGGTGTGGGTGGTACTCAGTAATACATGTGTAATATTTTGTAATACAGTAATATTTTGGTAGTAGTATGTAATACTTGTAAAAAGTGTAATACTAAGGTAATAATGGTAATATGCGTAGTTGTAGTCAAGTGTACACAATTTTTACTAGTAAATTCCCCCTCGCCTTTTGCAATCTATCAAATAGTATATATACACGGATACTATTAAGTGAAAAATCAATGAAATTGTGAATATATACGTAATACTTCATACGTAATGGGCAGTTTTTTAATAATCAACTAATAATGATAATTTTTTATTAGCAAGAAGAAAATCTTATTTTATTATTTAAGATGAGTCTTAAAATCAGCGCTAGTAGTTATAATGGAAATTGCATTGCGTAAATTCATCAAAACTGCTATAAAAATGTTGCCTCATAAAATAAGACCTCTTTTCGGCCTTAAAATAAGACTTTCTTTTTACAGTATATTCATATTATGTGATTATTACTTTTATTGAAATGTCCACTACACTTAAAGTTAATTGAACTGCTCATTTTGATACAAAATCTTCAATAAATTTAACATAGGTACCCGGGTGGCTCGTCCGCCCATAGAAGGTGTTTTTTTCCTCAGTCCCATAAAGGTTAAAAAAAACTTGAAAAAATCAGATTTTTAAAAATTTATAACTCGAAAATTTGAGCACTTATAAAAAAATACGTAAACCTTTTTTTTCTACAAAGAATAAAAAAATTATATTTAGACGAATTTAAAAGGTCATAGGTAAATCTCACATGGAATAGCCCATATATAAAACCATTTAATGTTCGTAAACATCATAAGCCTTTGTATTAAAAGGCAGGTCTATGCGTCAAATATACCTTCAATGTACATATAGTAAACAGTTCATTGTCACGCCTAGCCTTTACTAAAATAGGTCTTCTTAGTTTCCTAAAAATTGCAAAGAATGTTCGTCAACAATTTTTTCACTTATATTATAAAATTAATTAACCTACCTTTAAACAGATCTTTTAATTCTCCCAAACCCCAATTTTCCAGAGCTTGGTTAACTTTTTCATCCATTCTTGCGATCCGCACGATAAACTATTCGAAAAAGAACATCAGACGCTATGCAGTGTCCGCGAACGCGCGTTTTTAACCAGAATAATTTAACCATACTTATTTAACTAGAACTGTTTAGTCTTTTTAACTATATTTTCTTGTTAAAATAACTAGAAATTTTTTAACCAGACGCATCTAGTAACTTTAACCATAACTTTTTTTTCAGTGTAAATATGTCAAAACCCTTTCTGAAAAAATTACATATATAAAAAATTTCCCTCACTTTTTCCGGCCCCATTTTTCTCACCCTGAAGTCAGTATCCGACTTGTCGTGGACTTGATCACTTTGGTAATATTTGTTTTATTAAAAAAGTCTAAAAATTACATTTTTACTTAGAACAACAGACGAGTATCTGCTTATTGGAGTAATCCATTATATTAACCAAAACTTATCAACGAACATTAAATTAGGAGAAGTAGGAATGGGTCTTTATACAACTATCTGTCGACGAAATAATCAATAGACAGAGTTTAACGATTTTAATGTTGGGACAGAAACAAATTTGACGCAAGACAAAGAAAAAAGAATCAATGTAGAATTTCTGATTTTTATTAAAGTTGAAAAGAATAAACTGTAAATAATAATTTTAAGGGTAAATATCGTGTTGAACGTATGTATATATTATCTTTAATAAATATACATGGATTTAATCTCGAGGAGGAAATGATTACTAATTAATTATTAATTAATTATAATATTATTTATTATTATAATA